ATATGCTGACTCTGTAAACCGCTTAGAGAGGGCTGAAAGTCTAACTGCTATTGCTATTGCTAAAGAAGATTGTTGTGACTTTCCAGCAGATTCGGACAGTGAGGAGGTTGGGGAGGAGCATGGGCCAATCCTGGAGGCTGGGGAAGGCTCGGACGAGGCTCTACGTCAGAGGCAGAGATGGGGCCAAGGCCATCTGGCAGTTTTCAACTGCCTTCGGAGCTATATAATAGTGAGGCAGAGGAACAGCTGGAGCCTGTTCCCAGCGTGCGCATGCACAGAGCTGCCCGAAGAAAAGATCAACTCAGAAATCAGGGAAGACTTGGGAGTAAAGTCACAGGTGGAAGGTGATTGGCCCCTCCCATAGGACATAAAAGAGGAGCAAAAGAGGAGTGGGCTTTTGCAGGAAACAATTCGTTCATTTGGTCGTTAGATTCGTTTCAGGAGCGTGAAGATCTGTCCGTGAATCTCAGAGACTCTGTGCTCAATCTTTCCTTGCACCGCACCTCATTTGGAAAATACTTACATGGCAGCTTTCCAAGATAGATAAGGTCTGTAGTCATAAATACTCCTTTGAAAGACTGTTTACCAGGCCTTGGCTGAATGTGAATGAGAGGAATTCACTTTCCTTTAATAAAAGGGGTTTTGTCGGGATCAGGAATCTGCTTCGTGCTTTTTGGGAAGCCTAGGTCAGAACAAAGATCTCAAAAGGAGATCACATGATCCCGGGAGACTGCAACCGTCATAAATATGAGCCAGTTTCCAAGGGGTCCAAATTTTGATCCCACGACTGCAAGGATGCTACAGCGGTCGTAAGTTGTGAAAAAGGGACATAAGTCACATTTTTTTTTAGTGCCGTTGTAACTTTGAACTTTAGGAACTATTGTAAGTCAAGGATTATCTCTATTTGTAGGAAATGTACATTCCCAGTGACGCTTATAACGGTCTTTTGTTTTTTTAATTTGTAGTTTTCATCATGGGGGACATGAAAACTCCTGACTTCGACGACCTGCTGGCTGCTTTCGACATTCCTGACCCAACCAGCCTTGACGCCAAGGAAGCCATCCAGACCACCGGCGAGGAGAGCGACCACCACCTCAAGCAGACAGGCATCGGGATAGACGAAAACACCGCGTTGTCCCATGCCGCCCCTCCGGCCTCCGACGTTCCCGTCGTGAGCGTCATTGTGAAAAACACTTGTCGCCAGGAGTCGTTCGAGGCGGAAAAGGATGGCAATCACCTCGCCCCGGGCCTGTTGCACAACGGATTCCGTGGCTCGGATCTGCCCCTGGAGACTCACGGCTATAGGAAATTCGATTCGGCCTTCGTCAACGGGGACGGCTTGAGGAATTACCCGGAGAAGTTGGAACCAGCCAAATCGGAACCTTTACCGACTTTTAGTCAGTTCAGTCCTATCTCCAGCCCGGAGCCTGACGACGTCCTGAAAGAAAACAGTATTGTAGACAAACCTAAACTTGCCCAAACTCCTTATTTCCCACCTCATCCCATGTATATTCCGTCAGGATCGTCCGTCTTAGATTTGCTAAGTAGGACCCTGCCGGAGCCGGAATTCAGTAGGTTTATCTCCACTGGCCCATCGCTGCTAGATCTCTTAAGTAAGAAACTGCCCGAGCCAGAACTGAGCATGTTTGATCAATATTGTAAAAGAGAACCGAAGATCGACATCCACGGCCTTCAAGAGAACCGAGCCGACATCGCCACCAAGAGAGAGCGCGAGAAGAGTCCGGAGAAATGTGACGGGGCTGGCAAAGATCTCGCGGACACCCACGGTTCCTTTGGCGAAGGGCTTCCTCCTGGCAACTTCCATGGCAATAACCTGGGGGAAGGCAAAGGTTCTGTGCCTGAGATGACCTTTTCTTCCTCCGTCCCACCTCGCCAGCGTCTCAAGCCCACTCACTCCAAGCTGTCCTCTTGCGTCGCTGCCCTGGTAGCCCTCCAGGCCAAAAAGGTGGCGGGTATATCGAAGGAGGATCAGGTGAATGTGACCAGAGAGCCTCCCACCTCCTTTAAGGATGGCATGAAGGGGAGCCCCAAAATGCCCAAATCGCCCAAGAGCCCCAGAAGCCCGCTGGAAATAGTGAGAAAGGTCAACAAGCAGCCCGATTCTCCCCGGAGCGTGTGCAGCGACAGCAGCGGCAAAGGTTCTCCTTCGGTGGCCACCGGCTCCCCTCCGGCCATTCCCAAAGTGCGGATCAAGACCATCAAAACCTCTTCGGGTGAAATTAAAAGGATGGTCACAAGAATCTTGCCCGAAGTGGACGACCCGGGTAAATCACCTCATGATTCGCTTGCAGACGACTCAATGGTCGAATCCTTCCCTTCTCCAGAAGCGGCCTCTTCCCTGGAAGCCGAGCCGGGCAAAGATTTTGCAAAAGCAACCGTCCCGGAACCAAATTTAGCCAGCCCCCAAATCAACCCTTTGATTTCAGACATTCCCTTAAGCGGCATCCCCAGTGCGTTGCACTTGGCCAACAGCGGGACGACAAAAGTAGGCCTTGCGGGACAGCCGTTGAGCAAAAAGCAGCAGCCGGGCACCGCGGCCCAGCCTTGCAACCCCGCCAGTCTCCTCCCCAAGGCCGTGCACCTGGCCAATCTCAACCTGGTGCCCCACAGCGTTGCTGCGTCGGTGGCGGCCAGGTCCAGCGGCGTGCAGCGGCGCGGGCAGTCCCAACCGACCCAGGTGACCGTGCCGCTGATGCAGCAGGTCAAGAAGACCGCCCCGCTCGTGGTTGAGGCGTTCAACAAAGTGTTGCATGGTGCCAACCCAGTGCCAATCTACACGCCCAACCTCAGCCCTCCCCCCGAGAGCAGTATACACGTCCCTGCCGCCGGCTACGGCTGCCTGGAATGTGGCGATTCGTTTGCCTTAGAAAAAAGCCTGACGCAACATTACAGCCGGAGGAGCGTGCACATCGAAGTCATGTGCACTCAGTGCTCAGCCACGCTGCTCTTCTTCAACAAGTGCAGCCTACTCAAGCACGCGCGGGATCACAAGAGCAAAGGCTTCATCATGCAGTGTTCGCAGCTTCTCATGAAACCCATCAACGTAGACCAAATGTTCTCGCCGTCCCCCACCAGTTCGTCGGCCTCGTTGAGCCCGCCCACTGCACCGTTGTCCTCTCTGCCCCAGAAGCCCTGCGCTGCCCCGGGAAGCGGGGCGGGCGGCACGAGCGCTACCCAGCCGGCCCTGCCTCTGTACACAGACCCTTTGAGACTTATTCGCTATGGATTAAAGTGTTTTGAATGTAATAAACAAGCCTTGGACTATATTGCCCTAGCCGTACATTATCAGAGGACATCGGACGATAATGAGGGCCTGGTAAGTCACGTTCGGGGCGCTGAGTTAATTCCTCCCACCCGCCCTTTTGCTTTCTTATCACTGGGAATGGACCTCCAGCACATACAGGTAGTCCTCAACTTACAGCCGCAACTGAGGCTGAGATTTCGGTTGCTGAGTGAGACATTTTAGGGTAGAATACAGTGTTGTATTCGGCTGCCAACTGCCAGCCATTCGGCGGTTTGAGGATCTAGGTTGACTCGGCCTTCCATCCTTCTCGAGGTCAGTAAAATGGGGACCCAGATTGTTGGGGGCAAGAGGCTGACATAAACTTCCCAGAGAGCATGGTAAAGCGTTATGAAATGGTATATAAGTCTAAGTGCTATTGCTAAGTTGGGAGGGAGGGAGGGAGGGAGGAAAGGGAAGAAAGGAAGGAAGGGAAGGAAAGAAAAGAAGGAAGAGAAGGAAGGAAGGATCAGCCTTGAGTCAATCAGAATCAAACTCCTGGCAGTGGGCAGAATTAGTCTGTAATACTCACTAGAACGGATTCCCAAACTTGGCAACTCCCCGGGGTCGTGGGATAATTTGTGCGACCTTCTATTGCAGGGGTCCCCAAACTAATTCTGGAAGTTGTAGTCCACAAGTCTTAAAGTTGACAACTTTTGGGGACCCCTGCACTAAAAGGTCGCACAAATTATCCCACGACCCCGGGGAGTTGCCAAGTTTGGGAATCCGTTCTAGTGAGTATTACAGACTAATTCTGCCCACTGCCTGGAGTTTGATTCTGATTGATTCAAGGCTGATCCTTCCTTCCTTCCCTTCCTTCCTTCTTTCTTTTCCTTTCCTTCCTTCCCCGGTACACTGCAATTGTCATAAATTCGAACCCTTTGCTAATCATCCGAATTTTGATCGCATGACCATGGCGGAATGCTGCCATGGTCTTTAAGTGTGAACAGTGATTATAAGTCACCTACTTTCAGCGCCGTCGTAACTCTCAACCGTCACTAAACAAACGGTTGTAAGTCGAGGGCTATCTACAGTGAACCAGGGAGGGTTAAAAAAAACAACAACAACCTGTGCACTTTTCGATAAAGTCGATGAATTTCCACGTATGATCTAGTGAACCTACGGGGGGCGGGATCTGAATTTGGTTTTGATGCTATTTCACTGCAGCTGTTCAGGATGTGATTCTATTTTGTTCTAGAAAACATCAGGCCTGCAGCCCCTCCTGCACCGTTGAGTTTCCTGCGGAAGCTTTTCCGGATTCATTTCTGCCCTCTGATTTATATTTGGGAGAGTGGGGGAAAAAAGGACGAAGAATTGTTTAGCACAATCCACAGATAACAGTGTTAACCCACAATAGAAAGTGTCGAAACCAGGCACGCTAAGAACTACAGCCGCCATAAATCAGCAGCTCCCTCCCACCTTCTAGTTGTCGGTTGTATGTTGTGTTGTGAGTCGGCCCCTTTTGCATTTGTTGCTTCCTTTCCATCCAAACCTGCAGTTAACGGTTCCGATGGTTTTTTGACCGATTTCCTGTTCCGTGCCGAGCGCTCCTCCGTTTGTGTAGCTCGAAAGTTAAACCTCTCTCGTCGAACGCGGCCATTAGCAAATGTGTGGGGCTCACGGTGCAACTCCACGTTGTTGTTGTTGTTTTTCCTGTCTGCGTAGGCTTCTTGGAAGACAGTTCAGTGTTAGAATTGTGGTCTTGCTAATCGGCTTCGAGAAGGTTTACGGGAAGAGGCGAGAACCTGTGTTGAATTCAGAAATATGTACAAATGAGATTAAAATGACAGTGAGGCTTTCAAACCAGCATTGAGCCAAGTGGGTGTTAGCGAACAATCCAAATTCTGCATATAGTAAGGAGGGGAGATTCCCAAGGCTGAAGATTTCCGTTTCAGCTCTACGGGTAGTCCTCGACTTACAAAGGTCCGTTTAGTGACCGTTCAAAGTTACGGCGGCACTGGAAAAAAAAGTGACTTGGGGCCGTTCCTCACTGTTACGACCTTTCCAACATCCACTGATCCTTCAGGCATTCCTTTCCCGATCACATGAACAAAATGGCAGAGGCTTGGCGACCGGTTCATATTTATGACGGCCGCCGTGTCTTTTGCGGGGTCACGCGATCCCCTTTTGTGACCTTCAGGCGAGGAGAGTCAACGGGGAAGGCTTAACAACCGGATTTCCCCTTTGAAAAACGTGGAGGTTTCGCTTAACGACCGTGGGGAAGAAAAGACGTAACATGAGGACAAAGCTTACTTAACAAACATCTCACTCGGCAAGATAAATTGTGTGTGGGGGGCTCCATTACAGTCGTAAGTCGGCTAGCTGTAAGACACCGAGCGCGGAGCACTCCTCATGGAGTGAAGCTGCTTAAAAACGTTTCCGGCATATTCCGTTGGGACACCTGGGCATTAATTTCAATTGATACATTTGTCCACAAATTTATTTATTTTAAGATTTAAGGGTTCTTCATAGATCCATGATAGGGAACTATGGCACGGGTGCCACAGGTAGCACGCAGAGTCATTTCGGAGGGCACCCGATGTGTTGCCCTGTCAGCTCCAGCCCGTGTGCGGGCGCTGGCCGGCTGATTTCGGCCTCCGTTTGTGGCCGTTATTCGCCTTCCGGAGGCTCCCCTAAAGCTTCCGGAGTTCGAAAAACAACCCAACGCGCAAACCGGAAGTTCGGGAACTGACTTCCTGTTTGCGCGTTGGGCAGTTTTTCTCCCTCCCGAGGGCCTTGGGGGGGGGTGGTGGAGGCCGTTTTTGCCCTCCCCAGGCTCCTAGAAAGCCTCTGGAGGCTGGGGAGGGCGAAAAGCGGGTCCATCAAGCATCACACGCATACGTGCGGGGGGGGGGAGGGCATGCATGCGCACGACTCCCCCCCACTTTGGGCACACGATGGCAAAAAGGTTAGCCACCCCTGTCCCAGATCTTCATTTGAACGGTTCAAAGAACAATTTGGAAGAGACTGTTTGTTCCCCAGGCCTGAAATTTATTGCAACTTTATGGGAAAAATGCAGGCTGGCTGTGTTGAAACAGGCGATATCCTCAGGAGTGGTTGAACATCTGTCTTTTGTCTTCCTCCCTCCCTCCCTCCCTTGAAGCAGTTACATCTGGGAAGCTCCAGCCCCAGATTCTTAAGAGGCTGCAGCCTTGAAAAGCTCTTTCACTCCCACATTGTGTTTTGCTTCTATCGGCCTCTGCTTCAGTCCCAAATGGCTTTGAATGCCACATCTGGCGTTGGGGAGCTGGAGCATTCATGGGTGACTCCTCCATTGGTGCAAAGACCAATTTTGAACGGTGTTGCGTTACACCGTAGTCTTTTGACTTATAACCGTTCCAGGTTCCATACGGCACTGAAAACAGTGACTCAGGACCGTGGTTTCCACACTTAACGGCCGTCGCGGCTTCCCCGTGGTCACGTGACTTAACGTTCGGAGGCACGATTCTGACTCACTTTTACGGCGGCTGCAGTGTCCTGGTGTGACGTGATCCCCTTTGGCGACCTCCTGGCAAGCCAAGCCAATGGGGGAAGCCAGATTCGGTGAACAGCTGTGCGACTCGCTTAACAACCGCAGCCATTCGCTTAACAACGGCGGCAAGGAAGCTCGTAAAAGGGGGCAAAACTCACTTCACAGATGTCTCCCTTAGCAGCAGGAATTCGGGGCTCAATTGCGGTCGTAAGTTCAAGGACTGCCTGTACTGTGATGGGTAGACGGGTGCCACTCAGTGGAACAGCTGGATTGTTTGGGTATGGAGTAAGGAAGCTTTAATCCTTTGCATTTTGGCAAAAATGCAATAACCCCAGAAACGTAGCTACTATCCTGAGACCAGTGGTGGGATTCAGCCGGTTCGGGAGAACCGGTTGATAACTTTCTAAGCAGTTCGGAGAACCGGTTGTTGGAAGAAATCCCCTTTTCTTTCTTTCCACTTTACAGGGCTAATCCTGTAAGGAAGGCAGGAAGGAAGTAAACATTCTGGTGTTAATTCTAGCCTCATCTTTGTTGCCCTGCTTACAGAAACTGCCTCTCTGGTTAACCCTTATTACGTTGTAACAGCTAAGGCGAAGCAGCGCCCATCAGTGTGAGTGACGTTGAGTTGGCCACGCCCACATGGTCACATGACCACCGAGCCTCGCCTACGCAGCTGGTCATTAGGGCAGAGAACCGGTTGTTAAATCATTTGAATCCCACCGCTGCCCGAGACCGTGGAGTGAAGAAGGCCTTGCCAATCTGAAGATTTCTGGCGGGTTAAAACAACTTGTAGTAGCAATGCTTAGCCTCCTCCGTGCAATTTGGGAAGCTGTATTTATTCTGAAACTTAGAAAAGGCTGGGATCGGATGGGGGATAGGATGCAAATGCCCTTGGTTTAATCCAGGCTGCAAAACAGCGTACGCGTTGCCTTTCTAATAGGATCCGTCAGGGAGCTTGCAATAAAATTTACAATGAAAAATAAAACACAAAGGGACAAAATAAAGCCATAAATTTGAACAACCTGGTGGAAGCTTCGCAAAGGAGAAACAGCAGAGATGGAACTAAAACAAGCCACGCATTTCGAACTGGCTTTAAGGAACGTTTCTTCCGTCTTTTGCTAGGTTGTTTTTTTTAACCAAGCCAGTTTTTAGCCTGTTGCTGTTTTGTCTAGGGAAATGTTCTACGCAACTTTTTATTTGGTGGGAGGGTTTGATCCTGCCTTTTATCAGCCCTCTTTGTTGGGCAAAGGATCTGAAACACGTCAGTAATCATCCTAAGATTATTGCAGCAAAGTACAAGAAAGAATTAAGTGTTCTGGGATTTAAAAAAAACAACCTACCAGTCATATATAATAAAATAAAACGGTGCTAGATATGTTTTGGGGAGCATTGCAGAACTCGGGATCGGGGCGAGGGGAGGGGGGTTAGGTTGATTTTTCCCTTCCCTCCCCCCCAAAAAAATATTAATAGCAATAGCAATAGCAGTAGACTTATATACCGCTTCATAGGGCTTTCAGCCCTCTCTAAGCGGTTTACAGAGAGTCAGCATATTGCCCCCAACAACAATCTGGGTCCTCATTTTACCCACCTCGGAAGGATGGAAGGCTGAGTCAACCCTGAGCCGGTGGGATTTGAACCGCTGAACTGCTGCTCTAGCAGTATCTATAGCAATAGCAATAGCAGTAGACTTATATACCGCTTCATAGGGCTTTCAGCCCTCTCTAAGCGGTTTACAGAGAGTCAGCATATTGCCCCCAACAACAATCTGG